ATACCTCAATCTCTGAAAACTAAAGTGTACAACCAGTGCGTGTTGCCAGTGATGACTTACGGATCAGAGACGTGGTCCTTCACTGCTGGCCGTATGAGGACGCTCAAGGTCGCTCAGCGAGCTATGGAGAGGGCTATGCTCGGAGTTTCTCTGCGTGATAGACTCAGAAATGAGGATATCCGCAGTAAAACCAGAGTGACCGACATAGCCCAATGGATTAGTAAGCTGAAGTGGCAATGGGCCGGTGGCAATAGCTCGAAGAACCGATAACCGATGGGGAAGAAAGGTTCTCGAGTGGCAGCCTCGTACCGGTAGGCGTAGTGTAGGGCGACCCCCCACTAGATGGAGTGACGACCTGGTAAGATATGCAGGAAGTCGATGGATGCAGGTGGCTCAGGACCGTGCTTTGTGGCATTACTTGGGGGAGGCCTATGTTCAGCAGTGGACTTGTGAAGGGCTGTGATGATGACGATGATGATATATATATATATATATATATATTTATTAAGCTCCTTATGACCTTTGTTAAATAATTATAGTACAGCTCGCAAATACTATCTAACTATACAAAAAACAAATATTCTCTAAGACAGCCTGGTTCCATTTGCGTAATCATATTTTGATTTAAAGTCAATCATTAAATATTGTCGTTGTCACATTATAGAAGTGACGTCACAAGAGGCCTTGACTCGAAATCTAGTAGTAAGTAGTGAGATACATTGATTCAATTCACAGTACAGAACTCTAAATGCAACTGAAGTACTATGCGCGCACGTAGCGTAGTCAGCGTTGTCGTTCAGTAATTCAGTTGCTCTCGTAGATTGCGATTGTAAATATGGCGTCTTGCAGCGTTTCCTATTGCGGAAATTCTTCTTCAATTTGTAATTACACTTCACAAGCAACGTCAACTGACAACACTTGAGCGCAGATTAAATAATGTTACTCTTGAGGCTTAATTTAGTCAGCAGAGCATTTTCGGAACCAAAGTCAGCCTGATTGCGCTACCTAGACGTACCTAGCTATATTCTCTTTAAAAATAAAATCGATATTTGCTCACAAATAGGGCAGACTATGAATAAGGCAGAATAATGCAGGTTATGCATAAATGGTAAAGCCATGCTGCGGCCATATTCTTACAAGGTCGACCGGGGAAGGACCTCGTTCTCATACAACACCAGCGTAAAACAGTAGCTTAAGTGTAGAGAACTGGAGACCATTTTTACTGGAAACGAGGCATTCCATCTAAGTCCTCAGGGGTGATAACGCATCAGCATTTTGATTTTTATCGAGGATAGATGTAGATGTCATAGACATCCACTTATCGTCAGGCGGACTGTGTGCTTGTTTATCTCCCCTCATTCTATAAAAAAGATATTATACAGATTGCAGAGGCCAATGTAAGTTATATTTAAATATTATTTCTGTTCGGATAATCGAATTTTTCATCACCTCATTTCATTCTGTAGATGTATATATACAGTGTAATGGCGGCGGAAGTAAAACCCACTACCCCACATCACCCGCGGACGTCGTTAGAGACAACAGATGGAAATGAGAGGGGAGATGGGCAGCAACAACGTAATAAAATAACTGCGGTTGCCAAACCGCCTGTCAAGTGTGGAAACTATGTAAGACGACCCTTAAATTGCCTCATAGGGTGATGAGGCAATTTAAGGGGAAGGCTAGCAGTATGTGTAATCAATAGAAGATGACTTTGATAGGCTACAATAATCATACCAAGGAAAAAGTCAAGAAAGGCCAAGTTTATGGTAAAGTATGCCCTTGTCATCGTCTGTCTGGGCGTCGTCAGAGACGCTAGACCAAAAAGAGTAAATCAGTCAATTTTCGTCATCGAGAAATTTAAACTTAAACATATTATTGACGCGGAATCGGCTTGAGCCGATCAGAAAAATCTGTATGTCTACGAAGTACGGGTATTGCTAATGCCATTCTTATCGCGGAAGTGGTGGCGGGCCTGCTTACCTACACCTTGTTTATTTTATGTTGGGAACTGAAGCGGGTATCGGAAGACAGATTTTATCGAGGAAGAAAAGTGTCGCAACAGGACTGTTAAAACTACCGTGGTATCCGCCTTCTTAGCATTGTGGGAAAACTGTATGCTAAGGTACTAATTGAAAGGGTTATGAAAGAAACTGATGGAAAAACTTGGGATGTGCAAGCGGGATTTAGAAGGGAATGGGATGTACAGATCAAGTATTTTCCATGCGCATGATCGCGGAGAAGTTTTTGACCAAAAACCAAAGAGTTTTTTGTGCGTTCATGGACTTGGAAAAGGCTTATGACAGAGTGAACAGGGATGTGTTATGGCAAATACTTAAGTCATTTGGGTTGAACGCTGGGTTGATATAGGCATGTCTCCTTATAGGGACTCTAGTGCTTGTGTTAAGATCAACGAGGTCTACTCAGACTGACATAAAGGTGTCAGACAGGGATGTGTGGCTTTCCCGTAACTGTTCAACCTATTTATGGACAGTTGTTTGGAAAATTTGAAAGTTGAAGAATGCGGATTAAGAATGGGTGAGTTAACCGTCAAATGCCTTTTTTACGCCGGTGATCAATTTGTATTAGCATCGTCGACGGCTAGTTGCAAATGATGGTTACAGTAATGAACAGATCATTAAAAGAAAGGGGGTATGAAAGTGAACGCAAGTAAGACGAAGGTTATGGTTTTTGAAAGAAAAGAAAGTAAAACGATATGTGAAATAAGAATAGAAGGGGAGTTGGTAGAGCAAGTAGATGAGTTTGTATATTTGGAATGTGTCTTCAGCAGGGATGGGAGATATAATACGGATATAGAACGACGAGTGAATGCAGGAAATAAAGTAAATGGTTAGTGTTTATGTTTATAATGAGTTTTTGACTTAACAAGAAGTTCGACATACAAAGTATTTGATTTTTCTAAAATTTCTATTTAGAAAGGTGTAACTTCTAAACATATTTCACGTAAAGTCGTTAATTTCCCTTTAGTTCTCATGATGTTGCTAGCTAAGAGCCTAATAAGTAATGACCGATAGTAAACTCATTTTAGCCAAACACAGACAGACATAATGTAAGGTGCATGTGTTACTTAGAAAGTTTAAGAAAATATACGATTTTTTTAGTCTCGTATGACCATACTTTACTCAGTAAGGGCAAAATTGTACCTTTTTATTACAGTAATAATTACTTGAGGATATAATATTACCTAAATTAAAAACAAAATCACGGTTGGTGACACATTTCTCGATAGCTTTATTTTTCAAAGTTAGCCATTTTAATCCACTAATAAAGTTTTATACCCGAATGTAGAACATATCAAGATGCAATTTTTATAGAATACGTTAGACAGGTACATGGGCGCCGGGAACTCGGGGCCATTTCTTTTGTTTGATACCTCATGGCTCAAAGACTCATTACGTGAAAAAAATTTAACATTTTCCTTGAAATTCGAGTTATCGAGATTCCACAGTACCTACGTACTTATGGCAAAATTTTTAAGTATTTAATTTTAAAAGGTACTTTTATTGCTTATGTACGTTAATAACGCTACATTATTATCATTTTTATCTAGTATTGCTAGTACCAAATCATTATAAAGAGTCCACTGTATACAAGGTATACACTGTATACTGTATACCATATACAAGGTGGAATATGCGAGTTCGGTCTTCAAATGTCAATCTCACTTGCGCTTTGTAATTTCATCGGCTAACGATGCGATGCAACTGATAACAAAATATTCAATAGTACCAAACTCAAATCCTACAGGTCGGTTTTGGAGAGCAGTATTACAGTGTAAGGGTCTCGCTCAGCACTTGCTGTACCACATTCCTGGCGTTAAAGAAGCCTCTCAGAAGCTTCAAAATTTATCGTAATTGCCACCCATTGCAAATGTAGTACCAAACGTCTCACACCTTTGTTATTGTCAACGTCTTGATATAACCACATTTTTCTCAAAAAGAATACAATTCACTTATCATGAGAAATAACAAGTCAATAATTAGATATTAAATACATAAACTTATGAAGAATGGCAGGTACTTGTAAATGATCTGTTAAGTAGTGAATACGCACAATCGTTACTTGTTGTAGGTAATAAGAAAAGTACGTATACAATTATATATATATTTTTTTTATAGAAGAGGGGGCAAACGAGCATGCGGATCACCTGATGTTAAGTGACTACCGCCGCCCACGATCAACCACAACACCAGGGGAATTGCAGGTATAAATATATTAAAATTTAGTGTCCAGGGGGTTTTGAGGGCAATAAATCGATCTAGCTAGGGTTCATTTTTAAAAATGTCGATTTATCCGTGCTTTCAAGCAATGAAAAATTACTACAATATATGAAGGTAAATTTTGGCACAATTATAATAGTCAAAGGGATGTCGGGGTTTGATGTAGTAAGAGTGGTCCGACTTTTTTCCTTTTTTTTTCAAGTTACCTTCATTTGTGAGAAAATCTATTATTTTTATTTATATTATTATTTTCAGTTTTTTTTAAAACACGAAAATTTAAATTAAACTAATTGCGCATCATGATTTTTTATGCAAAAAACCAGTTCAGTTTTTTCTATTATGTCGGTAAAATCAAAAAATATTCTTCATATTTCATCATTATGTAATTTGTATCTAAATATAATTTTCAAATCACACGATTTCCAAAAAAAAAAAAAAATACCGAGCAAAGCTCCGTCATCCAGGTACTACATACATATTCCTCAATGCTAGACGATTTTGGTTTGGGAACAATCACATTTTTCTAATACATCCCTCGGTCACCTTTACGTTTTCAAGAAATGAAGTGGTCGATCCTACAATACTGCTATCAAAATAATATACATAACATTACAAGTAAAAGTAATAATGTAACAGACCACATATGCCTTACTAGAATATCGACACGAGCTTACTCTCCCCAATGTCAATTGTAAATTAAATATGGATAACAAATTAACAACTAGTATAAAATTGAATAAAAACTGAGAGACTACTCACTCTTCAGGAAGACTCGGGGCGCCCTCTTCCTGCCCCGGGGCATTGATGTGATATACACAGAAGTTCTCCAGTAGAGCTCGCATGTCCACGAAGTTGAAGAACGGTTGGAAACAGATGTCTGTGAAAATGAACGCTCTTTATTTATTTGCAAAAATGCAAATACTGTGTGAATTTTATTAAACATATACTAAATAGTAAATAAACTTTTCCGGTGATATCGAATTTTTATATTTTTGTTCTCGCTACATTTTTTTATAATTTTGAATTTTCTGTAATTAGTAAAATTTTAATAAATTTATTATGTAGAGAATAAATGTTATCATTTAATTATTTATTTTTACTCTATACCAGACAAACAGTGAAATACCTAAATGTAATAATTTAATATATATTACTCATAAAAACGAAACAATATTAATGTAATTTCAAAGCTTAATTTTTTTTAAGACAAAAACTACACAAAACAAGTTTCGTACAACATAAAAAAATGAGAAAAATATAAAGGCAAAACAGGCTTCGTACAGCATAAAAAAATGAGAAAAATAATTATCACGGTGTAATTAAATTCGCAAAGCGGCGTTCACAAAGTGTTTTACACTACTCGTTCGCTAGGCAAATAGGGAGAACATTTCACAAGTTATTCTGGCGATTTTCATTTAGCACTATATTCAAATATTTAACAAAAAGTCTGGTTAAAACGATTTACTCAGGTTATTTGACTACTCATTGCTAGCTCGCCGGTTGGCTTACAGAAACTAGCAGTATTGTCTAAAAATTGTTTTATATCGTAGGCTGCGACTGTAAAGTTAAAACTGCAGTACCTTATTATAGCAAGCGAATAGTTTTGAAACTATTTGATGTGGATACTATAAGTGAAAGAGGTAAATATGAAACTATTTCGTTTCGCAAATGAGAAGACTTGGTTTTCAAAGTCAAAGGAATTCATCACTTAGAATCTCGAAAGATGGTAGTTTAACATATTCATAAGTACTAGAAAACTTGCAGCGTAGGTGCGATACATCAGTTAGTGCGAGAGACAATCTGCCTGCTTAGAGTGGCGTCGTAAGTCCTCCATCCAAACTCAGTTGGTAATTAGTTAATGAGAAGGAGGAGAATTTAAAATTTATCTTTAATCGCAAGCCTATAAATAACATAACTACAAAAAATGTATATAATTTCCACTTTATGAATTGGGGAAGTCGGTGTTAAGGCGCATCAGAAACTATTATGCGAAGCTTATTTTTTAGCTCTTGTCAGTTTTACTTTTTGTTTAAGTTTTTATCATTTAGTTTTAGTTTAAATAGGTATATTAAAATACCCCATTTTCCACCCGAATCGAAGGACCAAAAAATGTATGATCCATGCCCCCTTTCGTGGCCACACACAGAAGCCCACAACTGCTGCAAATACTAAAGGCGTGAGGAACAACGACATTTCTCGCCCATCAACTTCAACTCAACTTAACTGCAACCTACCACTTAACTAACGACAACATCGAGATCCTACTTACTACCGTACAGCTGCACGTACTAACAACTACGTCACACTTCGAGCCCTACTCGATCAAGGCTCGCAAGTGAACCTGATAACGGAGAGCGCCGCCCAACTGCTTAAGCTACCCAGAAGACGACTTACTGCTATGGTTTCTGGGGTTAGAACTGCATCGGGTGACTGTAAAGGAAGCCTACAACTTACCTGCAAGTCTATCCACTCTGATTACTCGTTCGAGATGCAAACACTAATCATGAGAAAACTTATAAATAAATTACCCAACTCAACATTCGAAGCGGCTAACTAGCCTCACTTAGAAAACTTAAAACTGACCGATCCGGAGTTCAACGGATCGCGATCCGTGGACCTGCTGCTCGGGGCCGACGTGTACTCCGACATCATCCTGGATGGAGTCCTGAAAGGAGTAAAACAATCCCCTATTGCACAACAAACACACTTAGGGTGGATACTCTGTGGCAAGATGAAAACTTTCAACTATCACGTCACTAACTACAACTAAGACTAAATACTGGGAGCATGAGGATATCATTCAGGACGACAAGGACAAGCCCAAGGACAACTATTGCGAAAACCATTACAAGGAAACAGTGAAACGCGCACCAGACGGAAAATACATCGTTGAGATGCCATACATACCTAACTACGAAGAAAAATTAGAAAAAACTAAGCCTATCGCCATCTCTCAGTACCTACAACTCGAGAAACGATTTCAAAGAAACAACAAGCTCGCTACTATGTATTCCGATTTCACATGAAACCGTCGTTGACGTAATCGTCACTGGAAAAATAATGTTACCTACCTCACCAGGGAGTACTACGGGAACATTCAACTACGACTAAACTGAGGGTTGTTTTTAACGCCTCACAAAAACTACAAGCGGCTACAGTCTCAACCAATAGCAAGAAAAGGGTCCCAATTTACAAAGGGACATACAAGCCCTCATATTAAAATGAAGATCCTACCGGTATGCCTACAATGCGGAAATTGAAAAAATGTACCGCTGTATATGGATTACTGAAGATCAGCAAAAATTACAAAAAATAATATGGCGCCACTCTCCAGCTGAGGAACTACAAACCTTCCAACCTAGCGATGCGCACACTCAAAAAAACTCGCAACAAAAACGGCCACAAGTATCCCCAAGCGGCCCATATAATTCATAATCAGTTCTACGTTGATGACCTTGTAAGTGGTCATAACCTGATCGATTCAGCTAAAGAGCTTCAAACATCACTTATAAACTTACTGCGCGGCGGCGGTATGAACTTACGCAAGTGGTCTGCAAATCACCCTGCGTTACTTACTAGAAAACTTATCCGAGGATCAAATCTCTACGAAAAATAATTTTGACTTCAAACATGAAGAGCCATTGAAAACGCTCGGCCTTGGATGGAATCTACAAAGTGATACTTTCACTTTCAGCTGGGACTTGAAGAAAAAACTGGTACCTCAACCTACTAAAAGGCAACAACAGTCCGATATCTCTAAGCTTTATGACCCACTGGGCTGACTGTCGCCGATCACTGTTACAGCAAAACTTCTACTACAACAAGTAAGGATGAGCAAGCTACAATGGGTCGAGAACTTACCAGCCGATATACTAAGCGACTGGATGAAACTTAGAGCTGAACTGCCCCTGGTCAAAAACATCAAACTAAACAGATGGCTAGGGGGGGATCCAAGATAACATCGAACTATTAGGTTTCTGTGACGCAAGCGAGCAACCTTATTTATGAGTCATATACAGCCGCATAACGAACGTGAACGGCCCGCCTACTGTTACTTTATTCGCTGCAAAAACTAGGGTTGCGCCTTTGGCACACAAAACCACTTTGCCACGGTTGGAGCTTTGCGGGGCATTACTACTAGCACAACTGGTCGAGAAAACTAAGGAAGCGTTCAGAGGGTATAACTTGACAGTCCAAGCATGGAGCGACTCGCAAGTGGTACTTGCATGGCTGCAGGGAGACGTGTCACGCTGGGAAAAATATGTCGCGAACCGGGTGACAAAGATCAGATAAGCCATCCCCGCTGCAAATTGGGACTATATAAAATCGGAGCTCAACCCTGCAGACTGTTGCTCCCGAGGTCTCCACCCGTCCAAGCTAATCAACTTCATCCTTTGGTGGAAAGGTCCTGATTTTATAAGGAAATTTAACCAACAAGAGATACCAAGAAACTTAGCCTGCTACAACACTACTATCGCTGAAATTAAAAAAGTGACGGAGACAAACCTAGCGAAAAAAGACAATAACTTCCTAATTGTATTATTAAAAAATTGCAGCTCACTGCTACGTGTGATAAGGGTTATGGCCTGGGTACGGTGCTTCGCGACAATCCTAGCAAAAATGCAACAATGCAACGCAAAAATTACGGACACCGATTTCCTCAGTGCAGCTGCCTCAGCGCGGCCAATGAACTTATAATAAAGTATGTGCAGCGGAATGAATTTGAAAACGAATACAAACTACTTCAAAAGAAACAAACAATTTCCAGCAAAACCGCCATTTTCCAACCCTTATAAAGATTATATAGATTAAAAAGGGATAATGCGAGTAGGAGGTCGCCTTAACCACTAGACTTTACCGATGGAGATAAAAAATCCAATCATCTTATCTCGCAGTGGGCGGTATACGCAACTTCTTATTGAACAAGTACATTTACGAGGCGGCACGGAAAATTTCGGGCATCAAGGAAGTGACACAATATTACTATTTAAAAATGTATTTATTGCTTTTAGAAGTATTCTCCGCGAAATTTGACACATTTTTCCATACGATGGAACCAATCATTGAAACAACCATTCCATTCGGAAGTTGGGGCCTCCAAAATGGCCGTTTTGTAGGCATCCACAGCTTCTTCAGGTGATGAAAATCTCTGTCCACGCAATTTATTCTTTATTTTAGGGAAAGAAAAGAAATCATTAGGCTTAGGTCTGTACGGCGGATGGTCTAATAATTCTATGTTTTGTTCTGTGTGCGGTGTGAGAACTCTCATTGTCGTGATGGAGGATGATGCGGCGGTTGCAGTTCTCTTTACGGAGTTCAGAAACAACCTGTGGCAGACAAATGCTAGTATACCATTCTGCATTAACCGTTCCTTGTCCTTCAAGAGGAATAGTCGTAACATGGCCGGTTTTGGAGACAAACGTGGCCACCATTTTTTTTGCAACACTCCGTGAACAAACAATTTTTGTTGGCTTTAACTCATTTTCGAACACCCAAACTCGTGACTGGTTGTTTGTTTCGGGTTCGTACGCGTATATCCAGGATTTGTCACCTGATACGATGTTGTATACAGTATTTGAGGATCCTGCGTGGAATCTTTCGAGAGTTCTGACGCACCAAGTAACGCGAGCCGCGTTTTGCTCTTCACAGAGCGAATGCGGTATCCATCGGGAAAACAACTTTTTTACACCTAATTGTTCATGCAAGATTATTTGTATTTAACTCATGCCAATGTCTAAAGTTGCTTGAATTTCGCGGTTTGTCACATGTCGATCTTCCTCAATCAAAGATTTTTTTGAGTGACTGCAGTTTTTGGACGACCTTGACGGGGATCATCACTGATCCTGAAACGTCCACGTTAAAATTCAGCAAACCAGC